TCGTGTAGGACAGCGTATAATGGTGTGGACCGCGTGCTGGAATACACCAGTGGCCAATGGTGGGGAGAAAACGTGAATGATCCATAGAAGCCGGTACCGCTGTGTGCTCTGTCGGAGATACTTGTGTCAGTGCGTAGAGTGTAATGTACAGATGGAAGGGAATGGAATAGTAGTGAAGCGGTGGGAAACGTCAAAGACAGAGTGGGGATGCAGCAGACAGAGAAGTGGGGTGCGGTTAAAGGTTCGGCTTCGGAAATGGCCGCGGGAAAGTAGAGAGCGTTACGTCGTCTGGCAAGCGAGTCGAAGTTTTTCGTGGGCAGCGCTCGTTAACCCGGCGCTTCGAACGTGTGATCAGCAGTTCACCAGGCTCTCGAAGACAAGCTGCGATGTTTTAAAAAAAAGAACGGTTCGATTTGCAAGGATCGTGTAGTGTACGACTATCTGGTCTGGTGAGAGTCGCGGTGTTCGGACCGGTGTCTCAAAGAGATCAGTGCGGGCGGTCGTACACGAGGATGGCCGGCGACGACGGTGCACCACCGAACAATGAGATCCTTAGTACGGATGGAGAGGGGCAGGGTGCGTCAGTGCGGGGGGAACCGCATTCCAGAGTGGGCGGCATCCTGGAATGCGATCCCCCCGGTAACAAGAATTCGCCGAGCAAGCAAGTCTGTAACGACGACGACTGCGCCTACGGAAGCGGTGAAACTCTGATTGCCGACGACTGTAACAGCAGCGGAGGCGTTGGAACCGTGATTGCCGGCGATAACGGCGCTTTGTGCCGATATGCTATCGGTACTGCCAATACCGCTATGTCTTTCATCGAAGTTTGTCAGGTAACAACACATATGTAAATACCGGCGTCATGTTCTTTTCAATTTAACTTAGTTGTCAATGGGCTTTATATTCATCTTTATTCAATCTACAGACTTTTCTATACTTTCTTTCCTTTGCGCGTGTTTCGTTTCTTCTTCTTACTCACTTGAAAGCTCTTGCCGCGTTTCAGTGAGGAAATCAATACGAAAGTTGGATTTCAAAATTAAACTTTCTCCTTTCCCGATGTTTTATTACACATCTTTTAAATGTTAATCCAATGATCCGATAATTCAGTTCGACAACGATATTTCTGACATATAAAAACATTAAAGGATTCGATGTTTCGAGTAATGAGAACGAAGCACCGTTAATCGTTCAATTACTATCTTGCTTTCTCATATATGTATTTTGCTTCAAAAGGTTTTTATATCTATGTGTTGATATTAACAAGGAATCGTCATCTCTTTCAGATTCGACTGCAACATCTTTTCCCGCAATTGGTTTCGTCTTCGCGGTACAGTCTTTGCGAAAATTCCATAGAGTTTACAGCAGAATGTTTGGCTAATGATGTGATACGGTATCTACTAAAGGAAGATATTTATCTTATATCTCGAGACCCAGTTTCCCGTAGCATGAGGCACAATGTGTATCAGATGCTGAACAAACACAGTATTCTCTTCGCGAGTATGGTAAATCGTTTGAATGTTGTACCGGATACGGCATACGAAGCATTCATGGGAGTCGCGGATGAGCTGTTTTTACATGGTGGAATTACATGGGCAAGAATCGTTTGTCTATATGCATTCATGGGTAGACTCGCTCTTTGGGCCCGAGATAGACGAATGCACGCCTTAAAACAAAAATTACCATTATATGTCTCCAGATTTATTGGTGAAAAAGTTGCACATTTCATCAAAGGATATGGAGGATGGGTAAGTGTTATGTTTTCAAATTTCTAAAATATGAATACATAGAAATTTTGTGTTTAGGGCGCAAAAACGAATAATTCACTTCTTACATTGACATGTATGTATTATATTTCCTTAGGAGCAACTATGTATAGAGTACCCAGTGGCAGAAGAAATAAGTGGAGCAATCTGGAGAAGTCTTATAATGACAGGTGCTACACTTGGTTTGGTTGCAACGATTTTAACAGTGACCTCCTAATATACCCTTAGAAATTAATTTATACAGGGTATGTTTGATGTGAGACCTTCCAGCGTACTTATGTTCTACCAAAATACTTTTAAAAACAATTTTTGGAAGCTTAGATAATGCTTTTATATTGGCACAGAAAGTGAAATTGTGTGATTTGAAAGGCATCTTACAATAAGTACAGGATGTAAATTAAGTTCTGACCTTGCAGACTGCACAATTTTCATATCAATGTCTCTCAGTTAAGAATCATCCTACTTTTTATATAACTCCAACAAATATGTAACATGAGCGAATGATAATGATACAAGTTTCCTACTATATTCATATTTTGTAACAACTGCAGCTCAATGGACTAGTTGAATTAGCGAACAAATTTTTATTTAATATTAATCTAGATATTTTATCAAACTAATTTCATGTAATACTCAAAATTTAAGTTTTAGATATTTATACCAAACAAGAATCTCAAAATTCTATTGAATTTAGGTAGAAGCAATCTAAATGTATTTATTTATAATTTATTCTAGGTAGAAAATATATTAATAAATTCCCTTGTCAATCAAAGATCATTATAATGGATGCTTAAAACTTATTGAAAGCAGTTAAGATAACAATGCTCATTAAACATACAATAATATTTTTAAACAGCAGTGAATATTATACTTGGTAGTTTCTAATGACATTGCAAAAATCTTTATACAATTATTCGGAGATAATAAACATTTTCACAAAACATCAGTTTTGTTAGTTGTATCAATTATTTTTTTAACCCTGTAACAAAAAAATCATTTGCAAAATAATGCCATAGATTCGATCTTTTATATACATAAGTACTTGATAATATATTTTGCATGAATGAGATATTTAGGTGATATATTTTCAATTTTTTTAATATAAAACATTAGCAAATGCAAAAGAGGCTAGATGGTTAAATCCAAGTAGCTGATTTTTATGACAAATGTTCATTCAGTCAATCCCATTGAAAATCTTAATATCTTATTATATACTTAACAATCATGTTAATTACAGTATTACTTGATAATACATATTAAATGCTATCAATGTCATAATATAAAATATATTACGAAAAATATAAAAATTTTAATATATTTAAACAGAATAAAAAGTAATAAGTAGATTATTAAATAAAGGTCACTGTTAATGTCATAAATAATTGCTCTTAAATGTACTTGTTTATATATATTATAGTACCTTGCAAAACAAATGAAGAAACACAATTTATGTCACATCGTATTACTACCAAAAATGTTCAATTCTGAAAAAGGTATTCTTTTCAAAAAGACTAATATTCTTGCACTAGAATTATTAAAAATATATTTAGTAGATATTGATATAGTTTTATTTAAAATAGCATACTTATTCAAACGTAAATACAATCTACGTACTACTCAAAATATATTGATTTATTACTTGATACCAGAATGCAAGTATTTCAAACCACAAAAATTTCTAAAATACATGATTATTAGTGAGAGTATCTATAGTATGTTTTGTATTCTTTTACCTTTCAAATAATATAATATCTGCATAAAGTATTAGCATGCTTAATCTTTAAATTTAAAAATTAAACACAATTTTATTAATAATATGCTTTACTAATAAAATACTTTACCCAATTTCCTTTTACATATCAATTATTGAAAATTATTAAAAATGTGCAAACCGAGAATACTTCTAATTTTTATCAAATTCTTGTTGCTATTGGAATAGTTTAGCACTGTCTAAATTCATTACGTTTTTGGGATATGTTTAACAATTGAAATATCTAAAACCAACTACTCAAATTTATCGCACAGATCTTAGTAAATACATGATGAGTTTAAAGATTATGATAATATCGATTAATCGATACATGAATTACACGGAATTTTTATAAACTTGTCTAATATGTTTTAACGTTTAAATATAAAAAAAGATGTAATTCCCCGATTACTGTTTATAGCTTTATGCATTACATGAACATACAATACAAAATCATGAACTTGAGAATAATTTGCTGTGAATATATCTATTAGGTTTCTTACTTCTACTTCAGATCTTGTGACTGTACAGAAAACAACTGTTTTTTTCCTTTTTTTTTTTTTTTTTTTTA